TATGTTCTACATTGATACCAAGTTTCAAGTCAATCGGATGCATGGCTCAGTAGTTATAACGGAACATCCGTAAAACCCACTGTAGATTTATATATTAGTACAGATATAGAGAACAGGTACAGGTAGGTACCACCGCCCTACCTATTTCTGCCGTCAAGCAGTAACGCGTTTCGGTCTGAAGGGCGGGCAGCCGTTTTATTGTAAATAATGAGACCTAAGAACTCATATCTCAAGGTAGATGGCGGCATTTACGTTGCAGATATCTATGGGCTCCGGTAACCACTTAATACCAGGTGAGCCGTGAGTTCGTCCACCGATATTAGCATTAAAAAACAGCTTTTATATCCTTTTTTTTAATTTACGTAAAATTTTATTGCCCTACATAATAACAATGAGGTACTGTTTAAAAAAATCTCCCACGTAACTGTGAAAGATTTTAAGTCGAAAAGCTGGCAACAATAGCACTACCTAGCCGATTGCCATATACCAATAATAAAGAAGCACTCCTATGCTTGAAAATATTACGCATTACGCTCTAGTGCTCCACTGACCCAATCAGAATTGTAGTTCTGATATTGCAAACACAATGCCATTGTTTGGGATTATATAACGTGTTTCTGTCCAAACACTATTCTTTTCCATTTGAAGGACAAGATAGTCATTTTTACAAATAAGTTTTTACGAAGCGACGTATCTGTCTATATATTTACATCTTAATATTTAAGTGTGAGTTTGTATGTTTGGAGGTTTGTTGATAAATCGTGCGAAAATGGCTAAAGAAGTTCTGGTGAAAACATCTTTTTTTTTTTATGGGTGGACGAGCTCACAACCCATCTGGTGTTACGTGGTTACTAGAGCCCATAGACATCTACAACGTAAATGCGCCACCCATCTTGACATATAAGTTCTAAGGTCTCAGTATAGTTACAACGGCTGCCCCGCCCTTCAAATCAAAACGCATTACTGCTTCACGGCAGAAAGAGGCGGGGGTGGTGGTACCTATCCGTGCGGACTCACAAGAGGTCCTACCACCAGTAATTACGCAAATTATAATTTTTCTAGCTGACATACCCGGTAATATCCTCTCATGTACCTAATATAATCTCAAGGTAGGTGGCGCATTACGTTGTAGATGTCTATCGGCTCTAATCTCAAACAGTAACAGATCTACGAATCGACTGGCAATTTATGGACCAGGGAGGCAAGCTTGCAATCATTTATCCCGGGGAAATGCAACATTGCTTGTTGCTTTTAATATTAACTCAACGCTACCAGTGTAGTGTGAATTTATTCAGAATGGAGTTACTCATACTCAGGCGACGAGGCAACGCAAATCCGCCTTAGCATGAAACATACGTATTTTGTCGGATCCCCTGGATCCACTCTCGATGCTTTAAGACTCTTCAAGCACCTGTCACCGACCTCGTCAAGTTGGTTGATTACGACGAAGAGCTCGACTAACCCATAGACACGACCCTCTGAGTTTCTCGACGGATCTTCTTAGTGGGTGCGATTCCGATCCGATGGTAGATTCAGCGAAGCACTGTTTTCGCTAGGGCTAGTGTTAGCAAACCCTCAAGTCGAGCCCCTGAGCTCGCCTACCCGTCCAGATCCAGACTACATCAGCTCCCTTCCAGTCCTTCAAGCTGGAGCACATGAGTGTGGCGCGCGATACCTACATGTCCCCCGCGTCCCCCTGATCGAGGGGGCCTCGTATAGATGATACAATCTGCAACCTCTTAGATTCGAAGGTTCCTTCTTGTTTTTACCACGCTTTAGGGTACAAATAAAAGACTGTTCCGTTGTCACATAAAATTTGTGCACTTAAATGGTTGTACTGGCATCGTGTTACAATAAAGGATTGATAAGAGGTTATGGCGTTTGCTTAGTACAAATTTACAAGTGGATTGGCCACAAGACCTATAAAAAAACCTAGACGCCCACACGGGCGGCCCTTACTCAGTCTAGTTCTATAACAAAGAAGTCTCACGTCTCAATTTGAAGGCTGAGACCGCCGTCGTTGTGACTGGACACCAGGTGCCCCGGTCCCCTGACATTAAAAAAGTATGTTTGATATATACGAGGCTTATGGAGAGTATTAAACGGTAGGCACCGGATTGGCTCTGCCCCTGACATTGCTTATGTCCATGGGCGACGGTAACCACTCACCATCAGGTGGGCTGCATGCTCATCTGCCTACACGGGCAATAAAAAAAAACAAATTTAATAGGGCTATACCAATTTAAAATTGGTGCTAACGATTCTGAAGTGGCGTATTGAAAATTGCATTTCAGTCGATATAGGGGCATTGCCCTTAAACCGGTGCTATGACTGATAAACTTATCAATATTTCTATATTCACCACTTGGCCTGGAGAGGGCAGACAGAAATACGTGGCCAGACGATGTAAATAATAATAATAAATAACAGGGAACAGATCACGCGCGGTCATTCGCCCCTAATTCGGATTTCCTGTGTTATGGGTACCAGAGACTGACATACATACTTATATACGTTTAAATACATATATAATAAACACCCAGACAACGAGCAAACAAACATATTCATCACACGAATGTTTGCTCGATGCTGGAATCGATCCCACGACCCTTGGCGCAACAGTCCGGGGCGATAATTTTGCACCACCGACGCAGTCAAAATAAAGGATTATCAAAAATTCAAAGACCTAAGAAAGAACAAATTGAGGACTTCCTTATTTGAAGTCGGTTAATAAAATAATTCTGACCGTTATTTTAAAACAAAATTAATACGACAGACGCCCGCGTAACTACACCGATTTTCTTGTTTTTTTTTACCTAAGCTGATAGCCTTGAGAGGCTGTTTCAGCGCAACCTAGCTAGTAGGTGAGCTCACGGGGCTCAAACCTGACGACGTTGCTAGCACGAACCCTAGCAAAAGCCATGCTTCGCAGAATTTACCACCGGATCGGAAACGCGACCCACTAAGAAGATCCAGCGAGAAAGTCAGTGGGCTGTGTCTGTGGGTTAATTTACTCGTCGAACCCTTCGTCGCAAGTGACGGGTTCGACGAGAACGATGACCGGTGCTTGAGGAACCTAAAAGCACCGTTAGTGGATCGGGAGGATCCGAAATGACGTGTTTTGGGCGACGTCGACTGCTTTCCATTCTGTCTGCAGGATCGGGAATGTAGTTACCGGCGGCCACGATGAGAGAGTTCTCGTGTAATGCCGCTTTGTCGAAGTCTTATATTATATGTATATGTATATATAAAACAATAAATAACACACATAATTTAACAACATAATTTTAGTCTCTAAATCACTTAGTCTTCAGAAAATCGGCTTTCAGCCCTGCAATACTTGTCTTGTGCGAAGCAAATATAAGCTCAGTCAGGACCTCTAACTACAGTACCACCGAGTCAGTCTAATTAAAATTCGTCAATGAGTTTATTTATTTGTGAAGAATGCCAATTGAGTTTCACAATATATAAATAAGTATGTAAATTAAAAAAAAAAGACTAGAAGCGAATGTTTATCAAACTTAAAACCGAGCGATGAGGCAGCGTAAATGTTACTTTTATATTTATAGACTAATTTATGCTAGACGCTAATCTATCTATAATATATATACTATATATATATAAAAATGAATTGCTGTTCGTTAGTCTCGCTAAAACTCGAGAACGGCTGGACCGATTTGGTCTTGAATTATTTGTGGAAGTCCAGAGAAGGTTTAGAAGGTAAATAAATATGAAAATTCTCGGAATTAAATAAAAATAAATTTATGATAAAATATTTGGTCAATTTTATTATTTACAGACTGTTTTTTCCTCAATACTGGTCAGAAAATATTAGCATTATTATAATAAATAGTCTAATAATTGTAAATAGACATGCTTTAACAAAAACCGACTTTAAATAGAAAAAAAAGATATTCCAAAACAAATGAATATACACTAAAACAATAATCATCGAAATCGGTTGGCGTGATGTTGAGTTATTGAGTTATTCATCTATTTGTCGCGCACGTACTTAATGCAAATTTAAGACTTATATGGTTTTCTCGTGGTTTTCTCGTGGATACCATTATCAGAACTGGACTAAATTAAAATGGGACTACGCGAGAAGCACCAGCTTTCTAATAAAAAAAGAATCATAAAAATCGATTATCCTAGTCAAAAGCTATGAGATAAAAAAATACAGTCGAATTGAGAATCTCCTCCTTTTTTGGATTCGGTTAATAATTAAACAGGAAAACTTCTCATAATACCACTTGCTAATGTAAATGTAACCTCTAACAACATCAATATGCATTTGCTGCTGTTGTATATACTCAATACTCACAGAGGTATTGACAAAGAAAATAGAAGCCCTAAATACTATCATGCATTTACAGGCTTCAGTAAGCACCATGACAGTTTTACTGGTAATCATCGTGGTTTATCAACATGCTAAATACCTTGGCAGTACCGACCCAGACTGCTTCCATAAGGTGGACCATACTTAAAAAATACTAAGAGATAAAAGTGTCACTTATTTATCAATTCCACTTAATAAATTAAGACCATAATTGATCAGTTATGAAATTTCGTAATTTATCTTGTGGTTTGGTTTAGACACAGGTGTTCTGAATTTCTTTAACTGTCCCAATATTGTGTCCCATCTTTATGATATCCTTCCTGAAGACAGCCCCTATTGATATTAATTCTCTATTAACTTTGGTTTATTCTAAACATGTAAATATTCTATGTCAATTCTTATCTACTAATAATATTTATCTTTAAAGTAGTTAGTCTAACATGTTTGTTTGCACTGTTGAAAAAACTGATCAAATTTATTTGTATTTATATTATTATTTTTTCTCTAAGAACCTGTCATTTTTGTGTATACTGTGAAATTGGCAAAATCAATGCCTAAGGGGTTGGAGTCAATTTTATTTTATATAAAAAAAAAAAACAGTATTGAACACACTATTTTTTTTTCTGAAATTTTCTGAAATTAATATGCATTTAGGACTCACCTCTTCCTTCTTAATCGGTCGTAGCTCTTCCAAGCTTCGGCTAGAGGTCTTCAAAGTATTAAGAGTCCCATAATGACTCCTTCTCTCGCATTCCGTTCTTGTATCCCCATTGTATGGTTCGTTATACACATGCTCCTTATCAACGAAGAATTCAGACTTTTTATCTGAGCATTCACATTTCAGATGACATTTAAAGCTGTCAGTGTTGTCATTTGATTGACATTTCGAACATTTCTCAGTCAGGAACGTTGATAATTCGTTGTTAGAATTACAATTGCAAGGGTCAAATTCGTTGTGTGTGCTTAAGCGGGTGTATGGAAGACTTGATGTTGAGTTTGTGAATGAACAATTTAAGGACTTGAAGCATCTGGACAGAGGATCTGATGGATGAATCGGTGGTAGAGTCCTCTGTGCTATGTCTAGGATTTCGGTGCACAGATAGTGTACTTCTCTGGGTTTTTTTGGAGTTGTCGTTTTGATATTTTTGCTCTGATCAGCTTTTCGTTGCTCATATACCTGTTCCAGTTTTTCGAGCATCTTTTTTGGGTCTTTCTTAGGTGTTTCCACGTTTTCAGTTATGGTAGCAAAGACTCTTGGTGGTTTTTTCGGTGGAGGACCAGCTGGTAATGGTTGTTTTAATGCCTTCTTCAATGTGTCCGTTAGTTTTAGATGCGGATTCTTGCGCTCCAGCTTCATGGTCTCACTGGAAGCTGACAATTGATCCATAGATTCTAAATTTGGTGTTACTTCAGATTTTTTCTCAAATTGTGTCATTAGTTTCTTTATACGTCCCTTCTCATCATCCAGATTCTCAGTCTCAGAGCTCACTCCACTATCAGTTGTGGAATCTTGTTTTTCATCTTTTTTCTTCACTTTGTTGACTTTAGCATATTGGTCTAAAATGGACTGTGGCACTTGGCTATCTGGCACTGAATTAGTGTTCGCCACATCCTCCGTGCAACCTTGTGGCGTGAAATTCTCCTTCTTCATTTGTTCCTCTAAAAAATTACCTAATATTTTAAGTCTTTCTTTACTCAACTTCTGATTTGATATCATTGTAAAGTTTGTTGTTTCTGACCTACCGTTGCAGCTACCGTGCCTTTTAGGTGCTATTTGATTTCTATCACATCTAAAAGCATGACTCCTGTGCAACTTTTTTCCTGGGTCACTGGTTTGACGTGATAAACAGGTTTTATTGTCACTGTTAATGGCCTTCAGATCAGCTCTGCTATATAAATAGCTGGTATTTGGCCTAGGTTCGTGGTCGCCGATTGATGAGTCAAATCCTACGTTCTTCTCATGGTTTACAATAGCTTGATCGTGTTTTTCTTCAATGTTCACTCCGCTATTTTTCTGTTTACACAACTGTGTGGTTGTGTGTTTTATCAAGAGCGGTTTGTTCTCGTTTCCTAAGTTCTCGAATTTACTCTTTATGGCTTGTACTCTGTTTTTTGGCTGCGATATCATTATTTCGACACTTTTGAGCGCATTTTAAATATTTTCGAAATCTCTCAACGATAATTACACACTTATTAAGATCCACGCTTACAAACAAACTGTGATTTTGTTAGATTCTGTACTCAAAATTTATTAAAACGCACAAAATGAACATGATGTTCGACTGAATTACTATTTTTATGTTGTTTTTTTTTTCACTAGCACATAACACAACACAGCTGCACAATTCTTCGAGCTACAAATTATGAATAAATTCCGTGTCCAATCACGAAATATTTAGCGTTCAACACGAATAATGCAACTCTAAATTGATATTTATTATTACTTTTGACGACGTTTGATAAAAGTAAAGTTTATATTACATATTGTCGTAGTTTACATAAACAGTTGTTCGCTGAGCCGAGGGCATGGCACTGGTTAGTGTTACCATATCTTTATACACTTTTTTCCTGTTTTTCCGTTACGTCAATCATAAATCAATCGAAAACTATTTATAGTGCTACCCATAACCCATGTTAACTTTTCCTTTATCGTTTTTATTAACTATGTAATGGCAAAATCTAACTTAGACCTTTATTAAAATATTTTCCTTAGCAGCGACTGGGCTATGCCCCTGGCATTGTTGACGTCCATGTGCGACAAAAGTAACTCACTAGGTGGGCTGTCTGCTGGTCTGCCTACTAATAAAATACTGTTTTTACAGTATTATTACTTAGATGTGAAAATTATATAAGCATGTACACTATTGTGTCTCATATTTGCAAATGGTATTGTCCATTGTTAATTAAATATATTTATTTGAAACCTTTGTTAGAGTTTTGCAAATATTAGGGCAGATATGAATCTATGTAAATGTGAAACAGGTTCAAAGTTGATTGAGGTAAACACATGAAACTATGCTTTTATTGATTTGATTTTGTATCTGAAACCTATATAAGGTAAGTACCTTAGTACGATATCTAGTTTAGGTAGGATATATTTCAATTGAATTTTATTGAAATTCATTAATATCATTACTTTTGAATGTCAGAATTTTCCTAATATTTTATAAAATTTAATGCTCAGAGCACACAAGCAGCTGTGCGAGTTTTTTTTTTCTTATAATAAAACTGGTTCACGACAAAGTACCTTAACTTCTAAAATGATGAAATTTAATGTGATTAAAACAGTTTGAATGAATTCGACTTATATTAAAGTCTCACTACGTATCTCATTAAGTGACCTATTGAAAAAAAAAAAAATAACAACAAAACTGTAGCAAAATAGCAGACGCTTGGATCTTGTAACGTCCTCTGTAATCGAGTAGCTGAACTAAAGCTGGCACTAACTTTAATTTAAGCAAATAGTCTTAATGCTATTGCAAACAAAATGAATGAAACCCATATAAATCGTTCTCATACACGTTTCTCTATCTCGAAAAAAAATAATGTTTTAATACCATGAAAACAATAGTATTAAGTGGAAGTAACATAATAATATAAATTTGTTTTTATGCCATCTCTGATCGAGTAGTCAAGTATCGACCTTTGGTACTGAAGTGGCTATTACTGGAGATCGATTCAGTTTCCTCCTTAAATCTATGCATGAGCAGCAGGGGGGTGCAACTCCCATACAAAGGAAAAGAACATTCAACTAGCGTCATCTTTAGGAACCGGCGAGGTCATTTTTGAAACGTTTTGGCCTTAATGAACTAATAAACTCACTAGATGGCAGATACGAGTTCTGACTCAATAAAAAAGGTTAGCGTACTTTGAAGCAGTGCTTCCACTTTTAGGGAATTCTCCCTTTTTTAGGGNCAGCGATTCTAAACGATAAGATTTTTTCATAAAGAGAGTTATTAAAAATATTAAAATTACTAAAAAAGCCACCTGGTGGGGGGTAGGGAGACTAATAATCGACCGTAGCGACGCCTGCTGGACCGGGCTTTAACTAAAGCAAAAATAAAAATGAGAGTTGCGCATCTATCTCGAATATATTAAGTGTATAATCTATGATGAGCAGAAGAAGAGTTGTTCGACCGTCTTGATGCAAGGCCTCTTTATTGATATTTCATTTTCAAAGTATTGCGCGTCCCTTTACGCTTGCCTATGTGGCTTGTAATTAAAACTACTTTGTTTTATTTACCTAGTCTTACATTTATTGTTAATAATATTCTATCTCGGGCGCTTCGAATCAATTGTTTTCGCGCTCTCGGGCGGCCAAGGTGCTTTGTTGCTTGAAAGGTCGTTGTTTTTTGACATTTTAATTTTACGCGCGAAATTTCATACTTCAGTGGCGAAAAGTGTTTGTTGAAATTGACATGTCACTATAACGCGTTTTAGACAAGCACACCGTAAAAGTGTTTTTTAATTGTACCCACTAATCTCAAATCTGAATAACGTACTTTATTGTTTTCTCGGCATATGAGTAGATGCATATTTTTACCCAATGATTCTCCAAAAAACACGTCACAACTTCTTTTTTTTTTTAATTGGGTCATACGGCTCCATATTAGGATTTCCTGTGTTATGGGTACCAGAGACTGACATACACACTTAAATCTTCTTCTTCTTCTTTGTCGTTTCCTCATTGCTGAGGGTCGTGACCACCTTGGTCCAGTTTTTGCACCAGCTTCCTCCAATGTTGCCTGCATTCGGCCTGCTTAATGGCGCCCGGGACGCTGGTGTTTGTGGCCTCCTTGATAATGTCCGTCCACCTGGTTGGCAATCTTCCTCGACTTCTCTTTCCTTCCACGTGACCTACAACTATTAATTTTTTCAAGTTCTCAGGATTTTATATACGTTTAAATATATACCTAAATAGATAACAAACACTCAGACAAAGAGCAAACAAACCTGTTCATCACATGAATGCGTGCCCGGTGTGGGAATTGAACTTACGACCCTCGGCGCATTAGTCAGAGCCGCTAACCAATGCACCACTGAGTCAGTCAAAATCAGTCAATCAGTTAGATTGTAATTTTTTTCCGTATGTACCTATTCGCTAATAGCTTATTGGGCTATTCTAACTATGCCCGGGCGAATAAGTGAGCTCACGGGCTCAACCTGAGAGAATTTGCTAATACTAGCCCTAGCAAGAGCAGTGCTTCGCTGAATCTACCACAGAGTCGGAGAGTCGGAATCGCGACCCACTGAGAACATTCGACGAGAAACTCAGTGGGCTGTATCTATGGGATCATACACCCACTGTTAAATTAGTACACATCACAGTTCACACACTCATTTTAAATCATTGCCACGGAAACAGAGACAAACAGCCACAGTTCACATTTTAATATCGAAAACAATTAGTTCGTAGATTAAAAAACCATTTAATTTAATAACATTTTATTACGTGTCGTATCAATATACAATTAGACGTGATGCATTAGTCGTCACTATCTCGTCGGTGTCAGTGCAAGATGAACTCGATTTTGGTAAGAGAATAAATTTTCTAATAAACAATGAGAGTATATCTTAATGGTTTCCTTTGGTAGGACCTCTTGTGAGTCCGCACGGTACTACCACCCTGCCTATTTCAGCCGTGAAGCAGTAATGCGTTTCGGTTTGAAGGGTGGGGCAGCCGTTGTAACTATACGTGAGACCATAGAACTTATACTTCAAGGTGGCTGGCGCATTTACGTTGTAGATGTCTATGGGCTCCAGTAACCACTTAACACCAGGTGGGTTGTGAAATGGTCCACCCACCTAAGCAATAAAAAAAAATTTAAAATAGACGAAGGTACGGCGTTTCTAAGTCTTGGTGAGTGGTCAACATCGTCCGTGGACATCTTCCCAGCACAGGATTCCTATGAAATGCTTGCAGCAAATGTGCAGGGAAAGAAAAAAATCTATCTTTATAAAAAATAAGTTTTATTTCTTTATGGTTCGACACACTACTGTTGCTAAGTCGTCGCACTGATCTCACAACATGAATATCGGAAAAATAACCAAAATAATTAAGAACCATATTTAATTTAAATTAAAAACTTTATTCCGAACTAAGTATTGACCAATAACTATTACGTAATATATATAATAAGGATTTCAATGAAAAAGTTTCCATTTTAAATTACTTTAGATAAGATTTATACTTGGGTCCTGTCATTGTCAAGATGAAACTGCAAATCAAACAGTCTGGCAGTTAATAAGTTAATGTTTTCTTTCCGTGTTGCACTCGGAAATTTCTCCTGTCTTTCTCCCAGTCACCTGGAGTCGGCGCAACATGTTTTCTCCTTCCACACTCCTCTATCATATACCATTTCTTCGCTCACTCCCCTCTTACCCATATAGTCTTTCACGCAATCCATCCATTTCATCTTAGGTCTACCTCTTCCTCTATATCCTTCCACGTTGATAGTTAACACTCTCTTACCAAGCTCATTTTCATTGCGTCTCATCACCATATCACGTCGGAAATTTTAATATACATCACTATTGAAAATTTGAAAATTTGAAGGTCGTTAACACAATATACAAACTTAAAACACAGTCGTCTTGGAAACTGTACAGTTTTCGTAATGACCGTAATAATAAAAACAGTCAATGCAGTTTTAATTATTTTAACGACTCGCCAGAACCGAAGTAAATACAAACTACCTAATACTATAAGATGTACTATGTTTTTTTTTTATTGCCCTTGTAGGCAGACGAGCATACGGCCCACCTGATGGTGAGTGGTTACCGTCGCCCATGGACTTCAGCAATGCCAGGGGCAGAGCCAAGCCGCTGCCTACCGTTTAATACTCTCCACAAGCCTCGTTTGAAGAAGGACATGTCATAGCGCTCAGGAAACACCGTGGAGGGGAGCTCATTCCATAGCCGGATGGTACGTGGCAAATAAAGACCTCTGGAAACGCACTGTGGATATATGCACGGAATTGCGTCTATTATCTATGAGTTAATGACTGGATTCATTTAAATGTAGGTACATCTTTCGTATTGTGTACTATATATTATAAAATATATGTACTGTATATTTCGTTCACAGCTAATACAAATTCTGCTCTATCATGGGGTTGTATTCAGCCGATTCGTTCCAGAAGCACAGGTAATACCATTTTATGCCTATTTTAATGATAAATACGAGAAAATGTGAAATTTTGAGCAAAGGGCCGATGGTGTATATCATCTGTATCAAAAAAAAAGTCAAGAAGATAAAGTTGCGTTCTGGGCGCTCGATTAGAACCGAATTCCCTTAGCTGTATCTCTTTGTATCTTGATATTAGATGAAAAATAATATTTTTAAGAGAAATTTCTGGAATATAAAAGTGATTCAATATAATATTATATTTCTATTTTATTATTTTTGCATATTCTCAATATCTGGCAAGCTGAATCGATAGAAAACATGCAGGTGAGCTCACAGGGGCTCAAACCGGAGTGTTGCTAACACTGGCCCTAGCAAGAGCAGTGCTGCGCAGAATCTACCACTGGATTGGAAACGCGACCCACTGAGAAGATCTGGCGAGAAACTCAGTGGGCTGTGTCTATGGGTTAACTCGCTCGTCGAGCCCTTCGTCGTAAGCGACGGGTTCGACGAGGACGGTGACCGGGGAAAAGGCTCTTAGGCTACCAGCGAATAGATAGGGAAAAACGAAAGTCCCTGTATCGTAAATATTTATTATCTTTCACACAGAACGAGCCCACCATTGTCTCGTGGTCCAACAAAGAGTACATCGTTTACCCAGACTTGTATAAAATACGAATCAATGCTGTGAGTATTTTAATTTGCTACGTTTTGAACCTTAACATTTATACATTTAAAAGGTCATGTGTGTTCATTTTTGTTATTACAGAAACACACCCCAGCTATTGACAATGACCATGCAATAGATTTACAAACAGCAAAGACCGATGAATCAGGTAGCAGCTCAAGAAAAGTAAATAAACTACATAACTATGTAACGATTGATTGTAAAGATACTTTTAATGACAAAATTATATCCAGTGACTCAAATCACTTAATCACACCTGTTCATTCAGACGAAAAAGATTCTGTGAACGCAGCTCATGATGCAAACAAAAATCTTATAAAAGATATAACAGATGATTCGCATCATGATCTAAGACCGATTGATTCAGATGCACATCACTCGGTTACTGACACAAATGACAATTCGAATCATTCGAAGCATGAAGCAAAAACAAATTATACGACAGAAGCTGTGAGTGATAGTGATGATTCAATTTCGAAATCTTTTCATTTGAACGAGAAAGAATTGAAAGAATTCGAAAAAAATATTATGAATGATTTCGAAAACATATTAAATAAAGTTCTTCATAATAAAACGAATCAAAAAGGCGATAAAGGTAATTCTAAAGGACTTAATAAGCAAGAAATTCGGAGTTATTTGGACGAATTGAAAGAATCCATCAATGATATGCTTAAGGCTTACAATCATGTTGATGATACGGTTCGCAGTCAAGTCGGTAATGACGAACCAGAAGTCCAACTACCGAACAATCAAACTGTAGACGTTAATCGAGAGAAGGTAAGTTTGTGGCGCTTATTTTTTTATTGCTTAGATAGCTGGACGAGCTCACAGCCCATCTGGTGTTAAGTGGTTACTGGAGCCTATAGATATCTACGACGTAAATGCGCCACCCACCTTGAGATATGAGTTCTAATAACTCAGTTTGTACAGTACAACGGCTGCCCTAACTTTTGGAACCGAAAGAAACAAGCAGGGCGGTGGTACCTACCCGTGCGGACTCAAAAGACGCGCTACCTACCAGTGAAATTATTAAAACAGTATTATTTGTTTCGCATTTAAAATCTAAATGAATCGAACCTGAATAATTCTATTTTAGGATCAAGCCTGGATCTTCCTGAGAGACAAATTAGCAACGTATTTAGAATTATATATGACGGTAAGTGATATCAAAATGCTTAATAAAATTTTAAAAGTTTTGAACAAGTAAAATGTTCGTATCACTGTTTTCTTTATGGTTACTAATGAGGTCACCCGTATATTATGGTTGAGAAATTTGCGAAGTATTTTTATTAAAATATAGTTTTCTACAATGGGATTTTGAGTCACCGGAGTCATGCATACTATCTGGAGCCACTGCGTTCATGCACAGTGCGTTTCCAGAGATCTTTTCTGCCACGTACCATCCGGCTTTGGAATGAGCTCCCCTCCACGGTGTTTCCCGAGCGCTATGACATGTCCTTCTTCAAACGAGACTTGTGGAGAGTATTAAGCGGTAGGCAGCGTCTTGGCTCTGCCCCTGGCATTGTTGATGTCAATGAGCGACGGTAACCATTCACCATCAGATGGGCTGTAACTTCGTTTGCCTACAAAGACAACAAAAAAATTAGCCAATTACCAAAACTCATCAAATGTGAAAATCGTAGTTAAACCCGTTCAATAATTGTTTGTGTAATTATTTAAATTGTTTGATATGAATAGAATATATCTTGAAAACAATAGAATACGATTGTGGAAATATGCAAGAGCTTTTCTCTCTTTTACTGTATTTTCAAACATTCTAAAGCTGTCTATGAAAGCTAAGAGAAACGCGAAAGTCGTAGACTACAGCCGATCTACTTAAAAGCCTTGAGATACAGGCTACATATATTTTTTGCTTAAGTGGATGAGCTCACAGCCCACCTGGTGTTAAGTGGTTACCGGAGCCCATATACATCTACAACGTAAATGCGCCACCTACTTTGAGATCTAAGGTCTCAAGCTTAGTTACAGCGGCTGCCCCGCCCTTCAAACCGAAACTTATTACTGCTTCACGGCAGAAATAGGCAGAGCGATGGTACCTACCCGCGCGGACTCACAAGACATCCTACCACCATGAATGCTTCACGGCAGATACAGGCGGATGCGGGTGATTCGTTTGATGACAGAAATTCATGCTACACTCAATTGCCTTCTCTTCTACTGGGATGTAACAATAAAATCTATTCTTAGCGCATCGGAGACGTGATACAAGAAAAAATTGCAGTCAATTTGGACCACTACTTTCAAGAGCACGACGCTAATGTTAATAACAATGTCAATGAGCCAACGAATGAGGTTAATGCAGATCCAAACGCTGATAATGCGAGTGTAAGCAAAAAATGTTATTGTGGTACTGTTGGTGGACATAAAAATTATGAAGATCACAATGCCCAATTTAGTCCAGCAAGCGTTGCCAACGAAGATTATCCGGACAAGCTGAAAGTGAATCTATTTAGCGCCAATTCTATTCGTAAAAATAACGTTCTTAATTTGTTCGTCCTTAAAGTCGATCCTAAAGAAAGTTTCGAAATCAAATTGAATAATAAAAATGAAAAGCACCCGAATTTTGGTGAGGAAGTAGTCGGAGGAGGAAATAAAGGAAATAATAATGAAAATTCTGATAAAGAAATTAATAAAACTCCAGAAGAATTCACTGATATTTCTGATAAAACTGATCTGAAATTACCAGGAGATAATAAGGAACAGGAGTTAATTAATGACGACAATTCAAAAGAATAATATTTACATATTTAATATTATTATTAAACTCGACGGAATAACAAAAAATATTATGTAGAAGTGCTTGACAATGGCAACAATCTTCTAAGTGCCTTAGTGCGAGTTTTATTAATAACTTATATCTGATAAGTTTAGAACTTATATCTCAAGGTAGGTGGCGGCATTTACGTTGTAGATGTATATGGGCTCCGGTGACCACTTAACACCAGGTGGGTCGTGAGCTCGTCCAGACATCTATGCAATAAATAAATAAAAAACTCTAGGCCANAAGTGCTTGACAATGGCAACAATCTTCTAAGTGCCTTAGTGCGAGTTTTATTAATAACTTATATCTGATAAGTTTAGAACTTATATCTCAAGGTAGGTGGCGGCATTTACGTTGTAGATGTATATGGGCTCCGGTGACCACTTAACACCAGGTGGGTCGTGAGCTCGTCCAGACATCTATGCAATAAATAAATAAAAAACTCTAGGCCACGTCTTTTAGTTTTCTATGGCGAAGGCGTAAGTGTCGCCGTAACAGAAATACCTGCTCGTATAAATTATTCTCTTCAATCGGTCCCTCATTGCTGAGGATCGTGACTCTGCTTAATTCTGTCAACTAGCTGTCTCCATCAGTTCCGTTCTGTAGCTTGGTGGAGTGCGTCGCTGACAGGTATTTTTAGTTCTTCTGCTATTTGGTCCGACCATCGTTTGGGACCTCTACCTCTAGGCCATTTTCCCTCGATTTTACCGGTAACCAGAAGGCGTTCCAAACTGCTGGTATCCTTGCGTGCAACATGACAAAAATACCGCAATATTCTTTGTAGGCAGCTTGTGGATAGACAATGACTCTTTTCTATTTTTAACTGCTTGAGAATAGAGATGTTGGTGCGGCGGGCGGCAAATCATAATTAGACCGTATAAAATAAAAGTCAAATAATATATACGCAAAATATTTTTTATTGTAATGTTTACCTACACACATCCACGACTACATCGGTAGCTAGAAGGTTAAATTTACAATTCTTATAACGAACTTCGTGATTGGAGCATTCAGAACGAAGACGATGTGTTCGGATAACGAAGACAATTTGGCGTACTTCGTTCGACAATCCACAAATACTCCTTTCTCGTGTGATCTTCCTTTATTGCATAGCAAAGGCAGAATATTACAGTTTGTATGTACCAATATAAATCGAGAAAACACAAATTATTATTGATCAATGGCTCGTCTTGCATCCATCAAGGAATATTACAAAATAAAAGCTAAACTGGTTTTTCAGATTGTACCTATACATATCGAGGGGTGAAACTTATATGGTTGCGACATTTTTGGAACTTTACAGGAGAACCATTTAACAGGTTACCGGACCGGAGCGGTCCCTATGGGTGGATAATATTTACTTGCCAAATTACTTTGGCAATTACTTTGCCAAAACAAAACCGCAACTCACTTGCCTAGATTACCCCTAACCGCAAGCAATATGTAAGAAACGCGGACCGTCATGGCTCATCTAGGCTAGTAGCTATTATAGCATATTGAACATATAAGAATTATATCGACAATATAATTGCATAACCAAAAAATTAAAATTAGGAATAGCTTATTTGAGTAATTCTTTATCCATAAGTATGCATTTAATTACTTTTGACAAAAAATCGCTAATAAATCTCGGTCCTTAACCTTTCCAAGTTTAAAATTTAGAAAAAAATAATCCTACGAAAAATAAACTTCTTCAGCTATTCGAATGGGGTAAAATTAATTGAAGTTCAATTAAAAACATCGAACTGTTGATGCTGATACCAAATAAAACGCACCTTTAATTACAAAGATAAATGTCGCGTATTATTTATATTACATATATTTTTATTTCACCCGTCGATATGTAGGTTTAAATAAATAAGATTGAACAAAAACTTTAGATCTCTTTAGAGACAAATGTGAGGTGGTTCTCATAATCTTGGAGGCGGTTATTCTCTCTGCGACTGTAATGTCGCGATCAGCGAGTGACACGTACAGAGATCTCATTCCGGAAGCTCAGATATACTTCAGGTCACTACAGTCGGAAAAATTGCAAGACAATGCCCAGTGTTGAGTACTCTCTGTACATCCTCGTTCAAACGTATCCTCCCGTCACAGGACTCAGGCGTGAAGGTAAGATTCAGCCCAAAGCTCATGGGGCGTGACCAAAACTTTTTTTTTATATATCATAGATGGGTAGACGAGCTCACAGCCCACTTGGTGTGAAGTGGTTACCGGAGCCCATAGACATCTATAACGTAAATGCGCCACTCACCTTGAAGTATAAGTTCTAAGGTCTCTGTGTAGTTACAACGGTCACCCCACCCTTCAAACCGAAACGCATTACTGCTTCACGGCAGAAATAGGCAGGGTGGTGGTATCTACTCGTGCGGACTCACAAGAGTTCCTACCACCAGTATACAGCTATATAGTATATATCTATGATAAGCGGCCCGAAGCTCTCGTTTTGAAATCAGATCTCGTTTCTGAACCCAATATACACTTCGCTCGTCACTCGCCAGATACTAGATTACTTATGCAGAGATACCAGATCATTTTCCACCACCACGCTTTATCATCGATGGGTGACGTGGATCTACTAATTGGGTGCCGGAAGCCGTGGACACTTCCTCAGAGCAGCTACTAGATACGAGGGCTCTAAGTAACCTAAAACATTCATTACTTAGCAAGCATTTTCTTTTGGTATATTTCCACAAAACCATCCCACACTTTATATTCTAACCGCAATAAACTAAGCACATAATTTATTAAGGTCTACATTCCACGACATCTAAAATTACTAGAAAGCTGATAATTTTTTACATTCATGTTTAAAAACGAAAGAGATTCCCTGTATTTACAATTCTAAAAATTACAATTAAATAAAACCTACTACATTGTTTGTTCGTTTGCGTAATACTGAAAAAAAGTTGCCGCTTAAAATATTACTAAATACACTCTAATTGGCTGTCTTAGAAGCTTCGGTATCGATGTCCTAGTACCCCGACAACAGATGGCGCTATGACATAAATATTCAGAGCCTTTTAAAACTATACGCTGAAATGGAGCCCCGACAACAGATGGCGCTATAATATAAATATTCAGCACTTCTAAAACTATACATTGAAATGTGTCTTGGAAGAAATTGTTGTACTACAAGACGAATTTATTTTTTAAATAATATTGAATTGAAACTAGAGCCGTTTCGACACGCTCTTATTGGCTATGTTTGTTTGTACGCAATTGAATCTTTGAACGCCATTTCCACTGACTTCAAGACGTCTTATTAACTTGACAATTCGCTCACGCGTCAATGATCGTTGACGATACAATAATATTATTTATAACTTCACTCTGACATCCTTACCGGTGTCAACAGGAGATAATTGCCTCAGAATTGTTAGATCGGTTTGCTAAATCGCATGTTTAAGTCTCTAAACTGTTTTTTGGCTAGTGTGACATTTCGTGAAAACGACCACAGATTAAACTTTGGTTCGTTGATAATATTCTAACAGCTGATGTGGTCGTTGCTGTTCTTAAATAAAACAAATAACAAAACCAAATTTATTTGTTCCACCGTCTCAGTGTATTAAATAGTGTCCCCTGAAAGAGCCAATCAAGATGGCGCCACAGTAGCAAGACTGCTAAATTCATATCATTTCCACTTCCTACACTAGCGCTATTTCGATGAGTGTTCCAACGACTTACTGTTTACAGGCGGACACTTTTCAATTTGTCCCCGTACAAAAGATGGCGCTTACCTCCCAAAAAAAAGAAAGCTGTCATTTCATGCGATTTTTTTAACACAACTCCGAACTTTCAGATAATAATTTGCGACATTTATCACTATCGTTTTCATTTATCATTGTCATTTCGATAGCTCGACAAACAAACAATTTCCAAAGATTATGAAGTTTTCACGAAGCAGTGAAATCAGGTTATTTTTTAGAAGTTAGGTTATGTACGTAAAAAATCATTTGGTTAACAAAAATGTCACTACCAAATTCCGAAAGACTATCTGATAAAATAATTAAATGCAATTATAATACTATTTTCCCTTTTCGACGTTGCAAATTTCAATTTCGTACAAAAAAAAACATCAAAAAAAATTTTCACACACTACATTTCTTTTCTATTTAATGATCATTTCATATTTGAGGCTTAGAATATTTACACTATTCTAAGATTTGAGGTTAAATAATTCTTATAAGTAATACACGCTGGGTAATTGAATGATTTAATCCCTGATCATTTCTGAATGGGAAGCCGGAATTAACGCGAAAAAACTTGTAAGGTTACGTAATTCGTGGCTAAAACAAGTGACGTGGTCATGTTAACGCGCGGCCACTGCTTAACCACATGTGACGTCATACCTTGTTAAAAACTGATCAGTTGAACGTTCTATATTTCACTAGCCATTTTTTACTGTATTATATATGTAGTTAATCGACAATTGTTGACGTATGTAAATTTTATTCAATATTTTCACTTCACTCATGCATAGTCATATCGCCTTTTCGCATTAAAAGTGTATAATTTCCTAAAATATTCGAAATTGAGTCAATACGCGGAATCATTTGGTATCACCAGTGTATTTTTCTCATAAATACTGTCAAAAGAGCGTAGTTTAGTTTTAGTGTTTTTTTCAGTTTACCTATATTTTGACCACTATTAACAAGATTAATAGGTACATGATTTTATCTTACTTTAAAAGACAGATAATGTAACTGGTAAAAAATAAATGTTGCAGAGATGACTAATACTAAAAATATTACATGCTAAACCTTTAAAACACTCCTGTAAATTTAGTAAGTTTTGAGATCATACAGTTTTAATGCGACAAGACGATATGTACATGTAAAATCAATTGAAATCGCAATAAGTATTAAATACACATTCAATTTGAGACAACATAAGGGCCTAGTTTTTAGATTGTACCGTTATCGGGGTCTAGTTGCCTATTGTTGCTTTTCTGAGAGGTACACGCTGCCTATAT